AAAAAAAAAAAAAAAAAAAAAAAAAAAAAAAAAGGACATATATTTTCTTGAAAGGAGAAGCAAATGTTGTTGTCCCCTACCACTCTTGAAACTTAGAAAAAATATTCCAAAAGTTGTTTATGATTTTACTATTTAGTTTGGGCTTTGGGATGTCAAAAATTCAGTGCTTCGGCCACGAGCCATGAATTTATCACGAGTTGCTCTCTCACATCTTCAAATGCAAATTTTTCCCACTTTGTGCCACAGCTTCCTCTTCATTTGATTGTGGAAAGCCCCAGATAGAGCCGAAGAAGTGTCCCGGAAGGGTTGTAGGCGGGTGCGTGGCCGCCCCACACTCCTGGCCCTGGCAAGTCAGCCTTCGAAAAAGGTAACACCATTTCCAGAAACAGTGTATTCCATCCTCCTGCGTACTCCTTGCAAAGCCTTTCTACATTCACACTAAATCCACATACCCTCAGTATCAGTACCTGCCTCTAAGTTCTGCAAAGGAGTAAGGAAAACTATAAAAAATATTTTCTATGTTTTTTAATTGGGGTATAGGTGCTGTACAATATAAGTTACAGTTGTACAATATAGTGCTTCACCATTTTTAAAGGTTATACTCCATTTATAGTTATTATAAAATATTGGCTATATTCCCCGTGTAGTACGATATATTCTTGTAGCTTATTTTATGCCTAACAGCTTGAATCTCTCACTCCCCCTCCCTATATAGCCTCTCCCCGCTTCCCTCTCCCCACTCTTAACCACTAGCTTGTTCCCTGTATCTGTGAGTCTGCTTCTTTTTTTGTTATATTCTTTTCTATGTTCTTCAGTTTGAAAACAGTCAGAATTAGAACCTTTTTTTTTCTTTTTGATCTGGGCAGCTATCATCAAAATTGATAAATGTAGCAATTTACACTAAGATCCAATATTGCTGAAAAAGTATGGAAGATGCCTTGAGGGTTTAGATAGATACCCACTGTTACTTTGTCAAATGAAGAGAAAGGGATATTTTTAGAAATGGGACACCTGGAGGGGGAGGGTAAAGATTAAATTATCTATAATATATCACAGATACAGAGTCTCTTCTTTTTTTTTTCTGTCTTACTTTCCTTCCTTCCACAGTTTTGTGAACTACTGAATTTAATCAAAGGGTGCTCACCCCTTTGCAAGACGCATGTTCTTCAGTGAAGGGTAGGATCACCGTAATTTAAGAGTGATCAGTCCCCATCCTACATGACCCAGAAGGTTCAGGTTATCTTTCAGTGGCGCTCGCCTTTAATAAGTCCGTTTGGTGTCTCATTCGAAGCACATCCGGGAAACAGGCTGATCTGCTTGTTGATGTTGTACCGGTGAGCATGTGCCCAGTCGCTGTGCTCAGTGGTCTTCCTTCCTTTCGCTTGTGAGATGCTATCGATGAATGAAAATAGTCTATTTCATTCCCTGGTTGAGTTGGCTTTTCTTTTATTTGTCTTATCATTTAGTAACTGCTTGAGATACAGAGCCTTCACCTTTCACGTATCTCATATTCCCTCTTTCCCAAGATGCGCTGTGGTCTATTTCCAGATTGATAATTGCCTTGCTGGTTATTCACTTACTATTTGTGTCCCTTTCATTGTGATGGGCTTCGGAGCGGCTCACACAAATTTTATGAGCGACCCCATGCCTAAGCAGTCCTATAAAGTAAATGATTTAGGGGACGTTCCCCCCAGAGCGAACTTTCTCAGGTAAAATTAGCAGACACCCGTGAATCACGGCTACTCAGGATCCCATTTAGTTTGCTGAAGAATGACTCATCGGGTCTTGCATAGATCTTGTCAAAAAGAAGTGACAAGGAGCTGGAGTCCAGGGCCAAAGGGTCAAAGCCATGGGCGTGGACCTCCTGTTGGAGTCGTGTGGCTTTGCTGGGCCTCGCCCGTGTGCCAGCCACCTTCCAGAGTGGTGTAGTGACCTCCTGAGAACCCACCACAGGAGCACAGCTCAAAGCTCCCACCATCCCGATGACGGGCTGGTCACCTTGTCCTTTGGGAACGTCAGCGATATCACAACAGAGTGAGCTCTACTTCCGGGCTTCCTGTAGAATAAATCATCAGGTTTGAACTAAAATCCTGGCACATTTTCCTTCTAGATTTCCTTCTAGAAGCCACTTCTGTGGAGGCACTTTAATATCCCCAGAGTGGGTGTTGACTGCTGCCCACTGCCTGGACAGGTATGTTTAGGGGACCCCTGACCCAAAGACTTACTCGCCTTAAAGACTTCCACCTCCCCCTTTCTCCTTTCCTTCACCTTTTCTCCTCTGTCCCCTCCCCTTCCTTCCCCCCTTCCTTTCATGGCAGTGACACTGGGGACCAGGGAGTGGATGAGAAGGGCCTGAGGCAGAATTGCCAGGGCCATTGGACGAGAGAGGAGGTGTTTCTAGAGAGAAACGAAGAAGACAGACCCCTATCTGTCCTGCGCCAACTTCAGTGCTGGTGTCATTCTTCCTCTGTGGTCAGGCCAAAAGCAGCCCCGAGAACATTCCTTAACAGCCAGGTTCAGGTAAACCGTGAACTTGTTTCTTGCCACTCAGAGGTCTCTGATGGTAGGTAGCCTAGTGGGGAGAAGACGCAGTGTTTGTGGCTCAGAAGGGCACCCAATGAAGGGCTGGCCCAGATTTTGTTCCTAACGTTGCTGTCTTCTCTAGCTTCTCAGGGCCGGCATCATACAAGGTCATCCTGGGCGCACACAAGGAGACCGCCGTTGAAGAGAGTGTCCAGGAAATACAAGTGACCAAGCTGTTCCCGGAGCCCACTCGGGCCGACATCGCCTTGCTCAAGCTGAGCAGGTACTGGCTCGCCCGTGACTGTCACCCTGTGAGCAGTGAGAACATTTGCTCATCGCTGGGTTTATGAGCCGTAACAGAGTTGTGTGTGGGCAGCCCCGTCTAGGACCCCAAAGGCACGGGGCTTTGGGACAGGCATTGACCTTCAAGTGGGAAAACCTGGGCTCAGCCCCGCCTGCCTCTTACTAGCCGTGGTCATGACAAAGGCACCAGGACACAGTTTCCTCTTGAGGAAAAAGAGCAAATTGAAACATGAGGTACAGGTTACCCCTCAAACTCTCTCACTTAATGTTCCCCAGTCAGCTAATATACATTCATAATCAGAGAATTATTCAATTATTCCAGGTTGACACTCTCTTTTCAACGTAATAATATATTTGGGGGAAACAAATGGGATTATGTATATTTCGAAGCACTTTATAAAAGGCGATGTAAACACACACACACACACACTCACACTCACACACACTCACTCACACACTCACACACACTCACACTCACAATTCACAAGTGCAAATTCTCCTTCTCCCTATCTCTGGCTTTATGTTTCCTGTTGAAATGGTGTTTTATTAAGTCTGACAAAATGATAAATTTGTTAACGCCATTTAAAGTTAGCAGTATTTGGAAATAGGTCACAAGGGAGACAGCTAAATAAACAGACTGCTATTTTGGGAATAGGCACATTTGGGACAGTCAGCAAGGCATGCAGAGCCCATCAGCCATGCACGATGGGCTCCGGATGACAGTGGGACGATGGTGACAGTGACGAGGATGGCCAGGCCAGCGGTCAAGAGTCTGAGTGGGGCTCACTGGGTCTGGACAGAAACACTTCACAAGTTTTCTGGGTCAGTAAACTGAGTGACTCCCTGGGGTGTTTGGACACTCTGGAAAGGAAAGAAAGGGCCTTCTTGGCTTAGCCTAAAAAAGGAGCTGATTCGCTTTTTCCATGGTCCTCTGGGGCCATCAGGAAAGCTCTGATCCTCGAGCAAGTAAGTTAGTAAACTTGGGGTTCTGGATGTGTTCTCTGATAGACTGATACGCTTGAGCTTTCGGGTACCCACTCCCAGGCCCCCCAAACCCCAAGAGTCTCAGGCATTGGCGTTCCACGAGGGGAACCTATACAGTGATGACTGTGGCCCACTCCATGTGAGACGCCAAGTCTATTCTGGTGACTCTGACAGCGTGTGTCTGCTTCAAAGTTGAAGGCCATGATGATTCTTAATCGGAATCAGGCATTTCTCATCTTCAATGGGTTTCCCTCCTGAACTTACTAAAATAGAATCAAGTCTAAAAATCAAAGTTCTGATATTTGATTCTCTGGAACTCTAATGTGAAAGTTTTTGGAAAATAATACTACTTTGCTTGTGCAAGGTGCTTACTTCTAATCCTCTTTTATTCGGTATCTTGCATTATATTGGATTCTTACAGCCATGGTGTTGTAACATTTATAGGTGAGGAATCTGAGGACCCCAAAGATGGAGCAGCTTGCTCCTAGTGGCACAAGGCACTTGCTATTATTAAAGCCCTGTGATTGTATTTCAGCTGTATGGTCCACCTACTGACTGAAGCCCTCTTAACTTCATCTAGAAGTGTAAACCTGGTATAAAATTCCCATAGTGCAAGAATAGACATTAAAAGTCATTGTCATCTCTGTTCCCACCTCTAGTTTCTTGTCCACAACTGGTGCCTTTAAAACAAAATGTTCTTTTTTTTTTTTTTTTTTTTTTTTTTTTAGATACTACAGGCAAATGTGAAGACGAAAAGTTGTTTTCTACATTGCGCTGTGTCAGTGAAGCTTTTTTTTTTTTTTTTTTTTTTTTTTGACTCATAAGATACTACAGGCAAATGTGAAGACGAAAAGTTGTTTTCTACATTGCGCTGTGTCAGTGAAGCAAGGAAGAAATACCAGCTCAGAGCGTTCTGGGGCTCTGGGGCAGGTGGGATCTTGTGACCAACAGATGAATGGCAGAAGTCTCCTAGCAGGGCAGTCAAATGTAACTTTTGATGTTTTCCTTTCAGCCCTGCCATCATCACCAATAAGGTAATCCCAGCTTGTCTGCCATCCCCGAATTATGTGGTCGCAGACCGGACAGTATGTTACATCACTGGCTGGGGAGAAACCCAAGGTAAGATAAATTCTGTGACTCACATGATGAACTGGTTCTGACCTGCAGCCTGCATGAGAAAATGAACACGTGTACCGATTTCTATCAGTGAGTAAGGTCCACTCCCTTCCTGACTTTGTCTGGACACCTGCCTCCATCTCTATAATCAGTCATCAAGGGACATGGATGAGGGAAAGGGTAGTGTTTCCTTGAGACTCTGACCCCAAAAGTCCAAGGTTAATATTGTGTGCCCAGGTAAGTAGGGTTTTGACACAAGCTACAAATTAAGGGTGTTAGATTGTCGTTCATGTGAACTAAGCGCACAGAGTTCCCAAACACAGTGCCAATCAACAACAAAAATTATAGTTAAACTAGTCTCCCCAAATACCCACTTGCCTGGCTCTGTGTGGAGACGTTGCAGACGTCTGGGGGTAGGGCAGACTGACAGCAGGGGAAAGAAAGAAAGGTCCCAATTCTAGGATGGTATTTGGTATTGGTTGACAGGGTGAGGATGAAAGAGGAAACGTTTCTGCAGGATCCTGGCTCAGCAGCTGGTACTATATTTTGGGAATCCCGTCTTCTCTTTGCAGTATGCCCTGCATCATATTATAATAAAAATTATTATTATATCCTTCAGACTCGGGCCTAGGAATATTACAAGAATGTCCTAGATCTCTGCCTCACTTTCTCAGAAGCATTGGTCGGAGCACCAGAGTGGGAGTCAGGAGCCCTGGAAAGTAGTTCTGGTTCTGCCACCAGCTGGGTGAACGGGACAAGTCACCTAACCTCTTTGTACCATTTGGCATATAAGCCCTCATCCATAAAATCCGTGTTTTCAAATAATGTTCTACATGTTAGCCTTGGTTTCCTCATCTATGCTACCCTATGAGGTCATTGTGAGGATTAAGATAGTGCATATGAAGAGCTCAGTGCTTTGGAGATGGTATTTTAGCAGCTCCTGTGCCTATTATACGACCACCACCGCCATCACCACCATCACCACCATCACCACCACCACCATCACCATGGACACCGTCATCACCACCACCATCTTCACCATCACCCTCACCATCTCAGGATCATCATTATCATCACCATCGCCATCATGGTCGGCCCCCAACCCTCCCCATCATCACCGCTGTCACTATCATCAATAAATAACACATAACCTGTTGTAGCTGAGCCCTGATGGAACCCAGGCCTTCCAGACGCCCCCCCCCCAAGCCCATTCACTGTTTCTTCTGTCTCACCCAGCACCCACACTTTTCTAACTATCACCCTGCACTGGGTTCCCCTGTCTCTCCAGGCCTCGTCTGAATGTCTAACTGGAGAAAATGATTCTCAAGGTATTCATTGGATCAGGAGTCACAAAACATGAGTCAGGTCTGTTTACCGGTTTTCTATATGTCAATAATGACATCAGATCAATCAGCGTCCTCAGCCTCTCTGTGTGAGGCCAGAATTCTCCCCTTTAGTCTCCAGACTTTCCCTGACTTCTGTATTCCAAAGCAAGGTAAGGGTTGATGTCGAGGGGGTCATTCATGTCAGCCCCTCATCAGCAATCGCTGGGTACTTTCGGGGACCTGCTTCGACGTCCCCCACCACCCCATCAGGTCCCTAGGTCACCCTCAGCCTCAGGCCCTCAGAAGCGCCATCTCTCCTGTGGCCACACGATGGCAGCACCTCTGCACAGACCACAAAGGCGTCTGGTCAACTAGCAGTGGATTTGTCCCTAGCCTCAGGATGCCTGTCTTGCTCAGAAAGCAGATGTAAGAGCAGGACACTCAGTTAAATTAATTTTCAGCAAAAATTTTTGAGAAGGCCGCACCCTCTGCATATCCACCCAATTCAGAAAATGCATCCGCTACCCAATGCTTTTGTGGTCAGGACTTTCGTCCTCGGTGGCTCTGCCTGCCCAGGGCTGAGACTCGCCTCTTCTTTCCAGATGGTGGTTCTCTTAGGTGCTCCCGTCAACTCCAGCGTAAGTTTTCTGAACTCAAGACAATTTTCCAATTTTATTAAAAGTCTTTGGAGAAGGAGTATTGCCTTATTTCTTGGCCGTTTCATGCTGGCAACGCAAAGATTTTGCAAAACTCATGAAAGCTGAGCTTGCAAAATTGGAAAACGGGATTATTTGTGAAAATGCTGAGACGTACCTGGGTGTGTCCATCTGGAAAACATCCTCTCTTCTTGTGATTGTGCACGGGTTCTATTTCCATTTGCCAAAGTAAAAAAAAAGCAGTTTTTCTCACAAAGAAAGAACTACAGTGAGGAAAACAAGCAACCAAAGAATCTTTACTGGCCCTAATCGGAAAAGAAATGTAAATTAGGACATAACTTAAGACAATGTCCACCCATCACATTAGCAAATATTTAAAAATTATTAGACACCACACACTCAGAAGGTTGTTGTGCACTGCTTTTTTTCTAGTGACATTTTACACTGTCACACCTGTTTAGAAAATATTTGGCAAAGATATTGGGAACCATGAATATGTCTATATAATCCCTCAGAACTTAGACTTAAGAAAATACTAAGGAATATGAATAACCCGTAGGAACAAAGAAGTGATACGTTGAGAGCAGCTGTTGTAGCCAATGAACGTGGTGGTGAAGAATTTGGGCCATGATGTTGCAGACCCAAGTTCAAATCCCAGCCCCACCATACTTGCTGGGTGATCTTGGGCAAACTACACACCCTTCCTAAGCCTCAGTTTCCTTAACTGTGTAATAGGAATGACAAAAGTGCCTAGGTGATCGGACTGTTTTAAGGATTAAATGAGCTACACCACATAATGAGCTTGTGCCTGAAAAAGTTAATTGTCAGTAAATGACAGTTGTTCTTTTTTAAAAATATTGTGGTAAAATATATGTAAAATAAAATTTACTTTTTTAACTATTTTGAAGAGTACAATTCTGTGGCATTCAGCACCTTCACAACGTTGTGCAACCGTCCCCACTATTTACAGAACACTTGCCTCACCCCAAAAGGAAATCCCAAACCCATTAAGCAGTCACTCCCCACTAAAATATTAATTATACAGATTGTAGGTTTATGGAAGTCCTTATGATATAACTTGGTGTGGAAAAAATGTGCAATACGATATAAGTAGTAAAAGAAGCATATAAAAATCCTAGAAGGGAATATATGAAAATAGTAGCACTACTATTTCTCAATCTCTCTTTATACATTAAAAGTAAATTTCTTTATAGTTAAAAAAAAAAAAAGAAACCAAAAAATAACAACACAAACCAACCTTAAAATCCCATAAAGAAGCCCAGATTAATTAAGTCTAGGTCTTGGGAACATGAAATCTTATATAATGTTTATACTTTCAAGGGTCAAAAAGAAAAAAGAAAGAGTTCTACTAGTACCGGGAACTGACTTCTTGTTTTATCCAACCTCACGGCTGAACATGAGATCTATCATTGCTGCTCTGTTGTTCTGGAAGCTTCCTTGCAGACACGTTTTTCGATCCAGTCACCGTGTGTTTCATCTTTTTAAACACAGGCACTTACGGTGCTGGCTTGCTCAAGGAAGCCCGGCTGCCTGTGATTGAAAACAAGGTGTGCAATCGCTATGAGTATCTGAACGGGAGAGTCAAACCCACCGAGCTGTGTGCGGGGCATCTGGCTGGAGGTGCTGACAGTTGCCAGGTAACAAAAGACTAAAGAGATCAAAGTTCATCTTGTGGTGGCCTGTTTTGGCCCCTTAGACATTTCAGCCCCAAAGCAGCAAATTCGAGAAGGATTTGCCAATCGAAGGCCACAGTCTAAATGTTGCCCAGAAACCTTTTAAGCGTGTCTCTGAAGGCTGATTCAGGTCATCTAGGGTGATTTCTTTGGCCTTGAGTTCCACACTGGTTGTAAGGGAATAGTTAAGCACCATCACGGCAACAGCCCCTACACCTCTGGGAGGGGGCTCTTGGGTGGGACTCGGGACGTGGCCTTTCTAGTAGGGAAGGGAGGTTGGTATAAGACAAAGACCCTCCCACACCCCCTTTAAGATTGTTATTGGGGTTACCCTCCCTAAGAGAAACCCCAAGGCTTGAAGGGATGAATACAGTTTTCACAAGGGATTTCTTTTCCCCCCCGGGAAACACTAAATGGTACGGTTTCGTTAAACGTACATTGCCTAGTACTAAAGCACAGCAGATGTTCAAATAATATGTTACTAAGCTCCTTTCTGATTGGAAAGGGATGTTCAAATACTGGGAAAAACTTACATTTGGGTAATAGAAGGATGACATCCCATATCAAAGGATGGAAGCTTAATCCTCTCATGGTTTTTTTCCTTCCTCTGTGTAGGGTGACAGTGGAGGGCCTCTGGTTTGCTTTGAGAAGGACAAATACATTTTACAAGGAGTCACTTCATGGGGTCTTGGCTGTGCACGCCCCAATAAGCCTGGTGTGTATGTTCGTGTTTCAAAGTTTGTTACTTGGATTGAAGAAACAATGAGAAAGAATTAATTAGATGGGAGATGGAAGCATCAACGGATCTGAAGCTGGAACATGGGGAGGGAATTCAGCATATGCTCAGAAATAATAGACAGTAATCAAACTAAGTTTGACACTGTACTTAGCTACCAGCTACTGCCAAACCTCAACATTTTTTTGTATTGTTGTGGATAACTTGTTCCTGTCCATGGACTGCTGGATTCTGTAATAATGAGGCAATACAGCTATGAGATTTGTTGAAAATAAACTCTTTACTTCCTTTGGCTTAATTTTTTGATTTTCACTGTTTTCATGCTCTTCGTTCATCCTACCAATTGTAAATGATGTAACTCTTACAGACCTGAGTGATTTTGTTCTCTCTCATAAGGAATAGAGGAACGAGAAGCCTGTAAGATGAATAGAGAAGCCCTAGTAAGTCACCTGTATATTTACCTTGTCACACATCTTTAATGTCTTTATTTTTGGCACTGGGATGAATGTTTTCAAAGCTGCAGCATATATGGGGAATCATGAGAGCAAATTCTGTTCTTGGGAATGAAATCTGTTACTGACAACTTGACTCTAGCCCAGCACAGGAGACCCTGGGCAGACAGCTGTATTCTGAGAAGTAAACCGGGCAATGGGAGTGTAATAACACAAGACCAGCTAAGAGTCTGAATGGTATTCTCGGTCACATATGAGTCTAGGAATGGTGCCAAGAGCCTTGAAAGGAGCAACGAACATATACTGAAGGTGGACCATTTAATTTCCATCAGTAATTGGCTGCCTGGATATGTAGTATAATTTGTCACATGGGAAGAGTGTTTTACAGTGACACATGTTCCGAAAGAAGAGAAAGGATGCCAATTGATTTTTCTTGACAATTTACATTTTTTATTGTTATCAGAACCCAAATGTCAACTCAAAATACAATTCCAAGGTGATAGTATCAAGAAGCAACAGTCATCTCACAGCAAAGAGAAAAATGCAAAAGAAACAAAAATGCAAGGGTGTATGAATAAAGGGTAAATGCAGCATTACACCCTTAAAGAACTGTGTTTATTTCATTGAAAAATAAAATATTCACATTCAATTCTGATGTGCTTTAAGGATTAAAAACTTATTTTACAATTACCACGTACACCGTACATATCGTCACACGTTCACATAGAAATTTTCTTCCTCACTGGCAAGATTTCCCTTTGGCTCCCATTTTACCTGTCCACCCAAAATAATTCATTAAACAATTCTGCATAAGATACATACTGAATCTGAACATATAACAAATGTGACATATAAAGCAGAACATCATAAAGACAGCATATTTGTATTTAAACTCCACATTTGAAAAAGTCTCAGTAACAAAAAAGAAAGATCAAACCCCTTATCAGTACCTGTAAAGTCATGTACAATATGAACTTCTGCTAATTATTTGAAGCACGGATATAACTGACCTTTCTTTCAAACTAAGATGTAAGCTTCTTCCCAAGACAAGTCAAAAGTGTCAAGATTGACTGAGATTTGTCCGTATTTTTCACTCTTGACCATGGGCATCATCATAGAGCTGAACTCACACATATAAGATAAATATCCCTGTATGATTAAAATCTGAAGACCCATGAATTCATAGTCCATGGGTTTCATCAGTAAAAAACTGAATATGTGGCTCTAGGTGTCCACTAAAGGAGGACCGCAATTATCCTGAATCATCTCAGGACCAATCTGATTTTATAAATAATAGAGCCAAATCCTTGAACTGTACAGCAGATTTGTTCTTATTTCTGGAACAAGGCCTAAAAGTGCCTGCAACCCTAGATGCTCCAGGAGCTTAAGGGGCTCAAGGTGAGAAGAGAAAGCAAAGGCTCAGAGCCAGGTGGCCCGAGGTCCTTAGATTCAGTCTCTGCATTAACAAGATTCCCAAATCTTCATCTTCCCTGGAATCATCAGAATCCTCAGTTCAGAGCCTCAATGTCTTGATCAGATTTGATGAACCCATTTCTGTACACTTTCCCCAGATCCTTGGTTTGCACATCTTGCATTCTTGATGGAACCGTCATGAGAACTGGGTGGGGCTTCTCTTGTCTCTCTGTAACCCAGTGGGTCAGAGACACTGCCCCAGCGTGAGAAAAAACCTCAGGAGGAAATGTGCACACAACGGGCTCTTGGCTAAACCGGTCACATATTACATGTTCCCAGAAACTTTGACAGCACGATGAGTCTTGATTCATCCGACATTGTATAAAAATACTCTGGATAGTCTGAATGTCTTTGTAAAGTATTAAAAACACTTAGAGCTGCACAGCTGAAGTGGACACACACGTCTCTGCAAGGCACGTCGGTTCCCTGGGGGGACCAGCCTGAATAGCTCTTTCCTTGCATCTTTGGCTGGGGCCTCAAAGGTGAGAGCTCGAAACTTGAGTTTTCTTTTTTCTGCCACATTTATAGGAATGTGGACTAACAAAACAAAGGAGAAAAGAGAAAGTCCTTATAAAAGATTACACAACTAGTGAGAAGGAAGTCTTTTTGTCACTACTCAATTTCATAATTGGTTTTGATCGAATACACTCATGCGTAACTGCTCATAAAAGCCCAACTCAAAGGGAACAAAACTAACTGTCTCCAAGTCATTTTTTGCCTGCCCTCAATCCCTAGGCAGGGGTTAATTAGCATTATAGCACATATAAATTCTTTATGAATTTCTACTCCGTAACAGATGGTTTGGAAATGAGCTGCTGATGTGAACAAAAGAAAGCAGAAATGAGAAAGTGACTAAGTGCTGTTGTAGGAGGGAAAATGCTAACAGGTTTCCGGAACTTGGGGCTAAGTAGTTTTTGTTCCTGAGTAAGTGATTATAGAATGCAATCAATGTGCTTAACTTGTAAAACCATAGATCAGACTTTTATTAGATGTTTTTTCAAGGGTAGGGACCAGGCATAATGAATTAATTTACCCAATTTTTTAATTATGAAAATTTACAAACAGAAAAAAAATTAGAAAACAATTCATGTAAGTTGAATTTTTGTTGGACGAATTCTTCCTGTGTATATACTGCTTGGATATTAATTTTCCCTGCACACCATTGAGATGGCCTTCTCACCTCCAAAACTCCATCTCTTCCAATTGTTTAATTCTATTTTTAATATGATTGAATTGGCCAAAGAGTCTTGATCTCAAATCACTCCCTCTTCCTCCACTTTCTCCTGATGAGTTTGAAAATCTGACCTCTGACTGGTTTGGGGATCAAGAATGAATCTACCTCGCTCACTATAAATGAGCAGCAGCAAATGGAGTCGAATCAAAAAGAAGAATGCAGTCCCTGTCGCTGGACGGTTGGCACAGAGGGCATTCACAAGAGAGGGCAGCAGATGTGCAGGAAAAGAACTCTTAGACGTTAGACGCCTTAAAACCACTGAGTTAGACGTCTTAAAACTCCAATGACACATTCCCAGGCTTGTGCCACCAACAGTCAGCACTGAACTTCTTACTTTTGACCCTATAATCCTGGCTGGGATGCTCTCCTGCATACCCCAGCCCTGAACAGATCCTGCAGGGCACATCAGCCCATGAGAAGTTGCCCTTAAAGTTTGGATATCTTATTTGAAGATAATCCTATTTCCTTTCTCACCATTTCCCCTGCTTTATCTAACCTTAAATCGTCTTCTTTCCTTTGGTCTGTTAGCATGGCTGCAATTGGGGTGACAGGGTTGGACACCGCCCACCCTGATCTGGCCCCCATACGCTCATACAAACCCAATAATTGTCTGTGATGACACAGCTAGCAGCATGTTTATCCTTTCTGGATGAAGCAAGTCTTTCCATGATGTAACACTCAAGAGGACAGTTTTGATACCTTTTATAAATTTCTTTTTTAAAAAAATATTTATTTATGGCTGCGTCGGGTCTTAGTTGCAGCACTTGGGATCTTCCATTGTGGCGCACGGGCTTCTCTCTAGTTGTGGCACGGGGGCTCAGTAGTTGTGGCGCGTGGGCTTAGTTGCCTCGCGGCACGTGAGATCTTAGTTCCCCAACCAGGGATCGAGCACGAGTCCCCTGCATTGGAAGGCAGATTCATAACTACTGGACCACCAGGGAAGTCCCCCCTTTTATAAATTTCTTAACGTAATTTTGGTTTATAAAATGGCAATGTCTTAAAGAGAATCTCCCACCACACCTCAGACTTCACGGAGCATTGTTTTACGGTAAAACATAGGTAGATCTTTGGTTGAGGAATAAGCCATTACCTATCAGTTTACTTACAAACAAGCACAAGAATCTGATTGGGTTACTTCATGGGACGAATGTCCACCTGTCCTCTGATTGGCCAGTCCTGTTAGAAGTCAGCTGGTGGTTTGGTTTTGAGTACACTGATAAGCCTTTCTTAGGAAAGTTCTGAGATGATTCGTCAATCTTATTTTTCAAAATAGCGTCAAGAAATAGGATGATGAAATCACTGTATAGGTTTTAAAGGTCTGGTTGAAATACTTCTGAGCAATGGTTGCCTATCTCTGGGGAGGGGGATGGGACCTCATTAAAAGAGGATATGAAGAGAGAAATTTCCAATCCTACCAGGGGATTCTTGCTATTAAAATACTCATAATCAAGTAGGATACAGCATAAGACAATAAAACTACCCAAAGCAACAGTCACACCTCTACACTGGACAATATCAATCCCAGTACTAACATGTAAAAGTTGTGAAGTCTTTCTGAGCATTGATTTCCTAGTATACAAAAAAGTAAGGATAAGAACTTGTATTGCACACAATCACTTTGAGCATTAAATGAAATGACATATATGAAACCATTGATCACGTATATAAGGACCTAAAAAATGTCGGTTTCTATTCTCTTCCCAGTCTGTCAAGTGAAGAATAAAACTGCCATGAGGTTACTAACATTTCAGTCTTGTCATAAATACTTTTGATACACTTTTTAAAATTTAAAAGTTTAGAGATCCATACTCTTAATTTCTAGGGCACTGTTTAGAAGAAGATTGATTTTTATTTTTAAAATTAGCTGTTAGGAGCTTCTCTGGTGGTGCAGTGGTTAAGAATTCGCCTGCCAATGCAGGGGACACAGGTTCGATACCTGGTCCAGGAACTAAGATCCCACATGCCGTGGAGCAACTAAACCTGTGCACCACGACTACCGAGCCTGCACTCTAGAGCCCGCGAGCCACAACCACTGAGCCCGCGTGCCTACAGCCTGTGCTCCGCAAAAAGAGAAGCCACCACAATGAGAAGCCCACGCACCACAACGAAGAGCAGCCCCGCTCACTACAACTAGAGAAAGCCCGTGCCCAGCAATGAAGACCCAATGCAACCAAAAATAAATTAAAAGTTAATAAATAAAATTAGCTGTTAAATTATTTTTTTTAATTCACAAATGAGGACTTCCCTGGCAGTTCAGTGGTTAAGACTCCACGCTTCCAATGCAGGGGACACAGGTTCAATCCCTGGTCAGGGAACTAAGATCCCACATGCCACACGGTGCAGCCAGAAAATTTTAAAAATTAAAAAAATAAAATTTACAAATGATACAAGACCATGAGTTGTAACTAAAAAAATTAAAAATCAAACAATTCAGAAGTCTATGGGGTATAAAAGTAATGTCCTCCCTTCCACACCCCGCTTCCCGAACCATTTCTATCCCCAGAGGGTATATTTTATCATTTTAGATCTTTTCCTATGCATTCTCATATTCATATTCTCTCTTCCTATCTTTTTATTATGGAAGATTTCAGAGGAGATTAGAATATGTGTACTGTGGATTTTTCTTGATATAACAAAAACATATTTCATATTCGTATGTTGGTTGGATATTAACTTTCCCTGTACACCATTTAGACACCCTTTTCCCAAATTCAGTCTCTTTCTCACTGTCCTTCCCCTATCTTCTTTCTATCTATGTATCACTTATCATTCATCTATCTATCGATTGATCTATCATTCTTCTATCATCATCTGACTACCATTTATTTTCCCATCTAGCTCTAGAGAGGGATTACTCTTGGTTTTCTTTTTTAGTAAATACTATAACACATTGTTCTGTGACTTTTCACTTTGTAATCCATCTTGAAAATCTCTCCATGTCTTTCTATATAGATATATCTCAATTATTTTATAGATATATTGTCATTTTCACCATCGGTTGCCTATTGATGCACATTTAAATTATTTCTACTTTGTCCAATCATCAGTCTCTTTCCTTTAGATTCCTTCTGAGTTTTAACACCCTATTTGGAAATGTTTCCCTCTTCATAACCACATTTAAAAAATAACACATATTCTTTTACAGATTTGCTTTACATTAACCTTTTAAATCTACTTTGAATTTTTTGCTGCTTAAGATGTAAGATAGGGATTTAATATTATATTTCCCCCCCGGGTGTTCAATTTTCTTAGCACCGTCCTTTCCCAGTGGGTTTGAAATGCTGCTTTTAATTAGGATGTGCTGAATTTTGTACCATACCTGCCAAGTTTTTCTACATCATCCACTGTTTCTGGCAAGGCAATGCCCTTGGTTTCAGGCAAAAGCATCACAAGAGCACCACAGACAGATGCCAGGATACCTGTGGAACAGGAGAAAGGCGTTACGGTACCAGGAATGCACAGTCGCCCCCTCATGGCCCCCTGCTCATTCTGGAAGCCTCTGTGCTCACTACCTGGACACATCCTGCCCCGCAGCAGCCCTCTGGTCACCCTGCCCAGCGTTCCTCTGTCACGATTTCACAGGTTCTCAGCCTTCCTCAAACTCTAAACAGTTCCATCGCTCCTGTGCTCTTGGCATCCAGCCATTCATTCACTGGTTTCACAATTTACTGAGGACCTACCAAGTGCCAAACACTCCGAGAAGCCCTCACCTCGTACTTCACAGGGAACATAGAAGCCACCAGTGAGGAGTCCCTCAGCCTCCTTTCACTGCACCCTGGCCCTCCCCTTCCTGCTTCCATCACGTGACACCCAAGACTTGTGCCCACATCTGCCCGAGAGCATCTCCTGGCGTCTTTGTGGGCTCCGCACTGTAGTGATTCATCATCTCCCTCCAGCACCTTTAACCCATCAGTGGACGCCTTGAAACATATTCAAATCTCTCCTCTTTAAAGAGCCTTCTGTCAACCTCACCACCCGCCCTTCTTCCGTTCTTTACAACTGCAATTCTTGAAACACCATATCCTCTCCTATTTTCTACACATCTTCATATCCCAGCGCTGTGCTGGTAAATGTCTAACAACCAGCTCTCCAGAAAATGAAGTCCTGATTTGTAGCAGCATTTGCCTGTTTCCGTGGTGTAAATACGCCCATCGTGGATGCGAGCGATTCAAACCAGCAGTGTGATGTCGCGGGTGAGGCTCTGGGGAGATGGGCGGCAGCATCTCCACAATGGACTACAGTGGACGCACCAGCCTCGGGGACAGATGCAGTAGAACTCAATGAATCAGGAACTGATGAGGTGTGCGTATTTATTACCTCTGTTTTTAATATATTTTATATATTCAATTTTTAATTATGGATGTGTTTAAACTGGCTCAAAAATTCTTGAAAACTTGACAGTGGACCTTGGCGGGCCAGAGTCACCTCCCACCTCCACCTGCCCTAATCTGGCTCTGCTTGGTGTCCCCTCTGGCTTTGCTCCAGCCAGGTTGCCAGTTGCTGCCACCACCAGGTGCAGTGGCCCTGCTTCTCGTTTCTGATGCCTGGCCTCGTGGCAGCTCTGGCGGCTGGTGACCTCACCCACTGTCCCCTGGCTTCCCTGCCCCACGCGCTCCCGGTTTCCCTCCTGCCCCTCTTGCATCCCTTCTCATCCCCTGGCTGGTTCCTCTCCCTCAGCTTACGCTGGATGCTCTGTCGTTCCTCAGGGCTCCGACCTGGGCCCCCTTCTTTCCTCTCACTCTGTCCTGTTCACTGTAGACGGGGTTTCGGTCACTCCCATGGTTTCAGTGGTTATCTACATCCAGATGGCTTCCAAACCTTCATCACAAGGCCACACTTTGCTCCCGACTCAGCTCTCAAACCTACTGGCCTCTCACCATTTCAACTTGGATTTCTTAGAGGCACCTCATGCTACAAACAGCCCAAACAGTATCTCTCTGCGTCCTCCTGCAGATGGGCCCCTCTGACATTCACTAAACTAGGGCTGGCCCTGCCACCTACGGTGCTGCCAGCCCGGAGGCCGGCTGCCAGCTCCCTGGTCCCTCTGGCCCTCGTCCCATCAATCACCCCCTTTTGCCAATTCAACCTCCAATATATTTTTGTGGATCCTTCCACTCCTCAACATTCTCAGTGCCATCACCCTAGACCCAGTCCTTACGAAATCTCTTACAGGATTACACCAACATTCTTTGAATCGTCTCATCAATAGCATTGTCCCCCTCTAACTCATAGGCATACCTGCCACCAGAGTCATGTCTCTAAAATGCAAACCTGACACTGTTAACCCCGGCTTGAAACTCTGCTCTTTGGATAAAGAGCAGACCCTTTGCACATCGGAGAAGACCCTCCATGGTCCAGCCCCAGCTCACCTCCCCAGCTTCAGCTCTCTTCAGACCCCAACTTACACACTGCACTCTGTCCTTTAACTTCCTCTTACTCTAGGCCTTCCCGCTGCCTAGAGCACCAGCCCACACCTCTCACGTGCATAATTCCTATTCAACCTCCACGTGGCCCCCTTGCTCCCTGACTTTCTCCCCGACTCCACGGGGCTGGTGATCCCTGCGATGTGCTCTCATGGCACCCTTATTTATCACACTCCCTTGTGACTGGCTGTTTGGAAAGGCGGCTCCCTCCCCAGCCAGACTCTGTGAAGCAAGGGCCTGCCCTGCAGCACCAGCGCCCAGCTCCCCCAGCCGGGCTCGCAGGCAAGCCCCGACCTCGACGGACTGGGCTGTCAGGCAGCTCTGTCTTGGTTGCACAGTGGCCTCTCTTTGCTTTTTCATGCTGGCCCAGAATCAATGCTGAGCTTGTTTATCAGATCCCGTGAAAGAGTTTGAAATGATCTTTTATGGAATCACTGGTGTCAGTGATTAGAAGCCGACTTTATGGTTCCTAGCACAGCTGAAGGACTCCTGCATTCCTCCGGATGTATGCCCTCACGGACGCAATGTTTTCACTGGAGCTTAAACTGCGGAGCAATGGGTGAAAAACCTCTACCGGGAGTAAGGAAGTGGAGGTGGAGGAAAGGTAGGTGAGCAAGGGGCCAGCCGGCATCCTCTCTTGCTGAGGAGGGTATGAGATCTGGGCAGAAACAGCACTGGAGATGCACTGGACTGAATTACCCTAAGGGCCCTCCCTATGCTATGGTTCTATCCCTTCATGAGTTTTCATGAAGATTGAAGGTCGGAAGGAGGGTATGAACTTGAGGGGCATCAAAGAGGTTATGGTACGTGTCTACAAGGGCTTCTGTGTCCTCTGATCTTTTGGCATGGCGTGCTTAGCATCAAAGCACATGCAGATACAATATTGAGAGACATGGAGCATTTAACAATACAATTTGTTTTTAGGCTTGTTTTTAAACATACAGAAGGTCCTATTATTTGGTCCTATTTGGAAAATTATTGGTTATGTTCCACAATATTATAAAAAAGTTTCATAATATTTGATTTTAACTCAGAACCTCAACAAAGAAAGCTAAACTGAACACTTTTTTTATAGCAACCCTTAATGCAAAGTAAATTTAAATGGTTTAGGGTCCACATTTCATTGTGGTTCCTCAAAACGGAAACAGCTGTTATAAAAAGAGCAAATGGTTAAAATTGATATCAAGCCTGATGATCATTTTAGGTTCTATTAATGTGAAAATGTGGATGAGAGCATTTAAGAATAAGATATAAAGTGAGAACTTACCAAAGATGATAAGAGGTAGCTCTAGCCAAACGGCCGCTAAGCGGAAGAGGAGAAACGGGGCTATGATCCCCCCAAAATCACATAAACCTGAACACAGTGAAACTCCAAAGTTCCTGCAGAACAAAAAAATTGTTTTAAACAAAAAGTATTTAAATAAATTCAAGATTCGTAACATTTTCAGATATCTAAGTAACAGAGAAATTGTAACAATATTTCCCACTTCTCTAGTTTTTAACTTTGAAAATTTCTACTCTCTCACACCCTAAGCGCATCATTTCCAACCTGCACCAGTTCACATCTGGGTAAAAGCCGAGTCACAGTGAGGCTAGTTGGGGGTGGGGGCGGGTCTACAGTATTGGTGGAAATCAATCTTCCATCAGCGGCTCACTACCCAGCCTGCTCTGTGGTGCTTATGTGCCTCCTTGGCACCCCAGATTGGCAGTAAGGTGTGCTCAGGAATATCCCCCCAAGGAAGGAGGCCAATCTGCACTAGCTATGCACATTGTTTCATCTTGTCCTTCAATAATCGGTTGTGGAGTGTGGTCAGAACAGAGGCGGTAGCCTTTACACAGCGCTGCTGATGAAGGAAGATGTAACCCATGACGCAAGCACGCTACCCAGATTTTCTGATTTCAGGTCTAGTGCCTTTCCACAAACCCCCAACTGTGTATGAAGATACTGATGATAATAATGCAAAAAGAAGCTACAACTCAAAACTTAGCTTTTCCACTGGCTGAATCCAGCCCAGGCTAATATGTCGCCAAGCTAAGAAAACTATTTCATAGTTTTTAAGTCAACTTCAAACATGTGGCTGCAGAATTACTTAGGAGAAACCACGATATGGATGTTGGAATTACCGTAATGTTGTTGGGTACAATTCTGAATTTACCAAATAAACAATTTCAAAGGCCATGGTTATGCCTAATCTTCCCAGGGTAGCAACAATGGTCCTCAACCAGGGTATTCCTGCAAAAACAGAAAATTTGGAAGGGTCTGCTTTCAATACAATTTTACAAAACAACAAAGGGCATTTGCTTAGTGCTCTCCCAGCGGTAAATCTGCTAATTTTAAGTGCAAATGATAGATACCTTCTAATATTGTAGCCCAAATTCAACAACAACAGCAACCAGGAGGACAGCTAGTATTTAGTGCACCAGCTGCCTTCCTGAGCAGGGTTGGATTACAGAAATACAAGTCAAGGCGTTTGTTGAGAAGCCACTACCTTGAAAACAATGTTCCAAGCAGTGCCTTCCTAGAGGGCCTGAGTACACTGGCCTCTGTCTGGAAGGTAGTCTTTGCCTGTGCCCTTGAAAACCATCACAGCAGTCTGACGCCCATCTGTCCTCTTTCTGTTCATACCCCTTAGTGATGACACACAGAATCACTGTTCCCAACAGACCAGGAAAAATCTGGACCTGAAACTGACTTTGGTTTCTAAAGCGCAGCAAGGCTTTGAGGACTGAGATCTCTGGGAGGGGACATCTCTGCCGGGCGTCATCACCAGGGCGTATGTCTTTCCTGATTTCCCTCATCCCAGGTCTTTCTACTTTGCCTACGAAAGCATCCAGAAGGAGCCAGATTCTTTAATACTGATCTGCTCATTATTCATTTAAAAGTGAACTGTTTCAGGGCTGCTTTGGTTATATGAGGAAACACTCCTTTCCTCCATAGTAACTAGTGGGAAATGCCAAATGTTCTCTACTAAATATTTTCTTTCTTTTGTGCTTTAAGGGAAGAAGGCATAAACCATTCTTGCTCTAAAAAGTCAGTGCTCTAAATTTCTTAAAAGTTGTGCAGTTGATGCCATCCTTTTTTTAATTGAAGTGTAGCTGGTTTACGATGTTGTGTTAGTTTCTTCAGTTACACATATATATACATTCTTCTTCATATTCTTTTTTTTTTTCCTTTTTTCTTTTTTGTGGTACGTGGGCCTCTCACCGCTGTGGCCTCTCCCGTTGCAGAGCACAGGCTCCGGACGTGCAGGCTCAGCGTCCATGGCTCACGGGCCCAGCCGCTCCGCGGCATGTGGGATCTGCCCGGACTTGGGCACGAACCCGCGTCCCCTGCATTGGCAGGCGGACTCCCAACCACTGCGCCACCAGGGAAGCCCCATATTCTTTTCCATTATGGTTCATCACAGGATGTTGAATGTAGTTCCCTGTGCTATACAGTAGGACCTTGTTGTTTATCCATTGTCTATATAATAGTTTGCATCTGCTAACCCCCAAATCCCACTCCATCCCTCCCCCTCCAACACAAGTCTGTTCTCTATGTCTGTGTGTTTCTGTCTCGTAGATAAGTCTGTTTGTGTTGTATTTTAGATTATACATATAAGTCATATCATATGGTATTTGTCTTTCTCTGTCTAACTTATTTCACTTAGTATGATAACCTCTAGGTCCATCCATGTTGCTGAAAATGGCATTACTTCATTCTTTTTTATGGCTGAGTAATATTCCATTGTATGCATATACCACATCTTCTTTATCTATTCATCTGTTGATGGACGTGTAGATTGTTTCCACATCTTGACTATTGTGAATAGTGCTGCTATGAACATAGGGGTGCATGTATCTTTTTGGACAAAAGTTTTGTCTGAATATATACCCAGGAGTGGGATTGCAGGATCATATGGCAACAGAAACCTCATACTGTTTTCCACAGCGGCTGTATCAACTTACATTCCCACCAATAGTGTAGGAGGGTTCCCTTTTCTCCACACCTCCTCCAGCATTTGTTATTTGTAGACGTTTTAATGATGGCCTTTCTGACGGGTGTGAGGCGGTATGGTATCTCACTGTATCAATAGTTCTGATCTTATGCCATCCTTTCTTAGTAGACTTGGGTGAGGACATATGACCACGTGAATAGCAGCTTATCTACTCTCCAAAGCAAAGCCAAGGGCGTTCAGCATATGCCTGACTTGCATCTTTGAAAAGGAAACCTTCTCCCTTTATACTCATATTTATTGATGCTTTTTGCTCAGCACTAAATGGTCCTCTTGTCTTTTAGAATTATCACGCTTTCCTGAATATATAATTTTTTAGTAGAAAACTAAGCATGAATGAAGAGGATGAGAGAAAGGATGAAGCTCGGTAGATTTACGTGTTTTTTTTTTTTTTTTCCTGCACGACACAGCATGCGAGGTCTTAGTTCCCTAACCAGGGATCGAACCCGTGCCCCCTGCAGTGGAAACGAGGAGCCCTAACCACTGGACCGCCAGGGAATTCCCCTTCTGTGTGTTCTCTTTAGAGAATATTCAACCAATAAGAAAGCTAAAACTCATTAAATAAAACAATTGCCTAGGAGGGCAAGCAAAGAAAAAGAGGTTTCCAGAATCCAGATCATTGCTGGGAGGCTCCAGTTTGTTATATGTTGATTGCAAACTGGCCCAGGACGTCCTGGTGTCTTTGATGTTTTTCCCAGCTGAGGACACCTGCAGCACTCACATTAACGTCACACCAGGGAGTGATCAACAGCAGAGTCGTGCTGATGCACTGGGCCGCCATCTGCTCTGGCCCAGTTGTAAACAAGTGTTTTATTTAGCCTTTACTTTTTCATTAAGGCCAGGGAGGGGGACTAGGAAATGCATTCCACCCCCTCCTTCAGTGAGCAGGTGGTGCGGTGCCAGATGCTGGGGAACTTAAGTGGCAACTGGTGCTCAGATTCCCTGGGTCCCGGCCTGACCACGCAACCTCTCGCTGCTCTCAGCCTGCTGAGAACGCTGTTGGCTCCCGTGGAAATAACTTGATTATCCAGGTTAGGTTCTTAAGCTACAGTTTTTTCTACTGAATCATGACAGCTCTACAAGTGAGTCCCACTGACAACTTCAATGACAATTTAAGTTTATAACTGACTGCGGAAAAACAAACACAAACAAAAACCAAGAAACCAAATTAAAACACACACACACACACCCTCCCCCGCTCCATGAGAAATGTATGTGGTTAGCTCAATGAGTACTGATAAATAACTAGTCAATTCAGTAAAACGTTAAGAAAGTGCTGTCAAGTTTTCTCAAGACCCTCAACTCTTTCTAAGAAGTAAAGGCCAGTATCTAACTGCACTGGGACAGAGATTTTGTTGAAATGTGTAACAAAAGAGAAGTCCCAAAGGCACTGCACTGCTCATTTTAACTAAAGGGTAAAATGAAAACAATTTATAGGAGGTGTAAGTTATGTATGACTGTTACGTATGCACATAAAAACTTCTGATTATCCCTGGAATATGCTAAGTTCACCCTGGAGTGGCAATAGACGTCTTTCCGGTAGCAATGGCAAAAAACAAGAAGACAAGTTAAGAATGAGGACTGAAACTGAAACTACCGCCCATGAACTCCTGAGAACACAGAGAAAGAAAGTCCCTCTGATGGGGATTTGGTCAAGCTGGTAGAGATTACTGAGAATAATACCTCAATTTTTGAAGAAAGGATGCAGGATTTTAAACAAACACAATTTTACATCTCCTCTGAATGCACCATCTGCTCTGAGTTCTGAAATAAAATGTAGTGAAAATTCCTAGTAAGTAAGATAAACAGACTTACTTTTTACTTAAAGAGAAAAGTCCAAGACAACTTTTTCATTTCAAAAAGACTTACCCAAACTGTCGAGTTTGCAGCCATCTTGAATAAAGTCAAATTAAAGACGGCAGATGAGTATGGATTTAGAAATTGGGTCAGAAACAGTCTTAGATGAGGATACCACCTGAAAGCCTCTCTTTTCCAGAAGTTCATTCTTCAGACCATGAAAAGTCATGCTTAGTGGACGGAAAGTTGGCTAAACCGTTTTCTCTGAGATAATCTTACAGCTGATTCCCCTAGAAGGCTACTCAGTATTCTCTGCAGGGGCAGTCATTCTGGTGATGATGTCAAGAAAGGCTGAGAGGAAAAGTCTTTCTAATGTTAATTCAACAGCCCAAGTAACCAAGTCCCGAAGTTCCCTTAAGTGGAAGTAAGGATGTCAACTCAAGCAGGAAACCTCTGCTAATCCTTGGTATTCACACACAGCATTAGGGATTTGAACTTATTTTTAGCAGTCAATTATGACCAGCGTGTGACTATAAAAGCAGCCGACTCTGCAGAATATACAAATAAAAATGCATCCAGAATAAGAGCAATTCATTTTCAACGTTGCTAAGAACAATTCTAAGGCTTAAATTGGGAAATTCTGTCTACAAAATAAAACTGATCGGACCAAACAGAAAAATCTATTCGTTGCCTTATATTTTCTAATATATGAGAGTGTTCTCTATAAAACAGCTTGATTCTCACCCCCTTAGTTACTTCAATATTGGTTTGGACATATGATCTTCAATGATTTCTGGGATCATATGCTGAATGCAACACACATTAAAGTCATCCCAGTCAGTCTAGGGCCAGAGAAAATCTTCTGGGAAAAGTTACATAATAGAAAGATGGGCCACACTTCAGTCATTAATCTTTCTCTCCACTTTCCTAACTTCATATGCAGTGAATACGTAACTAATATTTGATTCCTGTTCCATATGCAATGAGAACAGATGACGTTGTCTTAGGGAACTACATTTAAAAATTAAACCTAAAACGAAAAAGTGCCAAAGTAAAACAGAAAGAACAGTGAAGTCTCCAATGTTCCTGATCTGTCACCTTCTACTAAATTGTGCATAATTCCCGAGGACAGAAATTATGTCTGTCTTGTTCACTGCACTATCTCTATTCCTAGTTTACTGGCAGAAATTAATAGACACTAAATAGATGTGCATTGGCCAATATCTTCCCCACAGCTCTTATAATGTGTTAACTCAATGTGGTAGGTTGAATAGTGTTCCCTAAAGTTCATGTCTACGCAGAACCTCAGAATGTGACCTTATTTCAAAATAGGGTCTTTGCAGATATAATGGTTAAGTTAAGGCACAGAGATGCAGAGAAGGTCATGTGAAGATGGAGGTGGAGATTGGAATGATGTCAAGGAATGCCAAGGATGGCTGGCAACCACCAGAAGCTAGGAAGAGGCAGGGAAGGATCCTCACCTAGAGCCTTCAGAGAGAGCATGGCCTGGCCCACACCTGGATTTCAGACTCCCAGGCTCCAGGTGTGTGAGAGAATAAATTTCTGTGTTGCGAGCCACCCAGTTTGTGGTACTTTGTCACAGCGGCGCTAGGAAACTAATACGCTCAAGAAAAATGAGATAAATGTAAACAGTCAGTCGTTTATCATCAACCATTCCAGTATGACAGGACTTCACATCTTTTTTCCACCCTTCTCTTCTGAAGATGGGCATTTCTGTAATTTTATTTAAATAGGGTCTATCTGATGTTTTGGGATTTCATAAATCCTTATTTAATTAATAAACTCATCTGTAAATGTCTGACTGTTTCGACTTCCACAGTATTATCAGTTCTTCCCTGATCCGCAGAGGATTCGCAAAGGAAAAGGCAGCTTCTCTTGTGCTGACACAAAGAACTAGCAGAGACTCCAGCTCTGCCAGCCACCTCCCACCCCACACCTCCTGAAATGCTGAAATAATAGATCTGCTCTAAAACACACGTTCCCTGGGAGTTTGAAAGGCTTCCTCTGTCCAGTGCCCGCTGTGTTCTGAGGCAGAGATGACCGGCTTTCCATTAACAGTGTATTTGGAGCCACTGACAACCTCTGTACCATACACCGGTCATCAAGCCCCACCCCCCCACCCCCCAATTTAACTCTGAAACATCTCTGAAATCACTGTCTCCCATTCAGGCCCGACTGCCACGACCTTGATTCCTGCTCTCAGCATCTCTCCTCCTCATTGCCATTGTCCAAACTGCAACAGCCACTTGGAGGCCACCTGTCCTCCACCTGAAGCTCACAAGACCACACCCAAGCTCTTGGCTTGGCCTTGGCTGTGAGGCCATCTCCACTGTGACGGATGATCCCTCAGCATCCTTGCCAGGATATTCCTGTGATAACAATGAACGTCTGGTTCCCGAACCAGCAAAGGTGGTGCGTACTTCTGAGAACCATGCTTTCCTTTGTAAAATCACTCCTAGCCTTCCCCTCTGTAGGGTACGTTTCTCTTCCTTCGTCATACGTGCCTAGTTTTCACCTCTGGGAAGCTTCTCCCGACTATCCCCATGGATTCATCACTTCTTGCACCTTTTTTTCCTATTTCTAAATCTTGTAAATCATTCTATTAGTTCATTCATCACAGTTTGTTGTGAGAGCATTAAAGTGTCTATATTCCTCACTAGGTTGTCAACCTTTTGAAGTCAAGACGTGTTTTCCTTCCCTTTGCAACCTCAGCGTTTCACATGGGATTGGCCACGTGGAAGAAATGTGAAACAGGGTCAATGATATCACAAAATTAAGTTGGATAAAGGTGATCAAAAATAAAGGACACTAATTCCACTCCTGGGTCTATATCCAAGAAAAAATCAAAAACACTAATTTGAAAGGATACATGTACCCCTATGTTCACAGCAGTGTTTTTACAACAGCCAAGAAGCAACCTAACTGTCCATCAACAGATAAATGGATAGAGATGTGGTATACACACACACACACACACACACACACACACACACACACACACACACACAATGGAATACTACTCAGCCATAAAAAAGAATGAAATTTTGCCATTTGCAGCAACACGCATGGACTTGGAGGGCATTATACTAAGTGAAATAAGTCAGAGAGAGAAAGACAAATACTGTATGATATCACTTATCTGTGGAATCTAAAAAATACAAAAAACGAGTGAACGTAACAAAAAAGAGGCAGACTCACAGGTATAGAGAACAAACTAGTGGGTTACCAGTGGGGAGAGGGAGCAGGGAGGGGCAACATAGGGATGGGGATTAAGAGGTACAAACTATTAGGTATAAAATAATCTACAAGGATATATTGTACAACACGGGGAATACAGCCAGTATTTTATAATAACTATAAATGGAGTATAACCTTTAAAAATTATGAATCACTGGATTGTGCACCTGAAACTTATAGTATTGTACATCAACTATATTTCAATTAAAATGTTTTAAAAAATAAACTACATCACTCCAAGCCAGATTTCACACATCTATTTCATCCATAAATGAACTGAGAAACGGAGAAAACAGAAAAATCTATAGAACCAATCTTTTATACTCAAAGTAGTTAGGCTGGTTAGGCAGAAAACAGAGTGACATCACTAGAGCACGACTGGCACGACGATTTTGATGCTATGGTCCATTTTCTAAAGACAAGTTCTCCATTCTTGATTATTTTAAGATTGTTTTCAAGTCCTTGGCTGCCAAACAGACTTAGGGGACAATTACCTTCTGGTAAGAATGCAGTGACAAGACAGGCCACTCCTGCCACTATATTGCTTGCCGCAAAGGGTAGGCGCCGACCAAAACGCTCAATGGTTAGTAAGATCAAGAGGGCTCCTGGCAGTTCCACAACTCCCGAGATGAAAAAGTCGATATAGAGGTTGCCTCCTGTAATTCCCAGGCGCATGACAAGTCCTTGATAAACCACAGCACTTGTGAACCTGGAGCAACATTGAAAGACAAGCGAGAACAAGTGAGAGAACTTCAACCTGATCTGCAGAATGGGCTGCATTTGTAAATTTGACACAAGCTTTTGAATCCATCACAAGTCAAACTTACCAAGCAAACATAAGTATAAGTGTGCACTTCCTCATTTGGGGAGTCCTCACCAGATCTAAAAAGGATGGATTACTAACTTCCTCATCTGTAACAGTGATCTATGTAAGAGAAGCAGATTTCAGTAGCAATATACAGCGAGAAACATCTGCATATTATAGATTTGTCATTGACCTGATTCAGAGCTACCAGATGATCTTACTGAACAGACCAGGGTCTTTCATTATGACATCCTAAAACCTGAGAATAAGGAGTTTGATTCTCTAGCCTTTATAATAGGTCAAATTCACAAAGATGTGCTTGCCGCCTTGAGAATCTATTCTTACGGTAATGCCAGCAGTACTATATGCTCTGAGTAAACAAGGATAAAAGGTGTGTTCTAAAGTAAAATACGTTTGTGCATTTATTAAATTGGAGAAAATAAGCATAAAACTGGTGAAAGCAGTTCCAAACAAGTTCCTTTATCCATTAAATCCTCAAACCTTAAGCTGCCAAATAAGCTAGAATAACGGTAGGTTCCTGAACAAGCATGGCACCAAAGGTATCTTTTTGCTTCTGTCCATTTACTGGAATCCAGCATCTTTTTGATCCAGGAAAATTCAGCTCGTCTCTATTTGGCCATCCAAGAAGTTGGTCTTTTCTTTAATTCGAGTAAAGCAATATTGCTGTTTGCCTCCTATGTATAAGGCACTGTAAGGGAAACAAAGCTGGATGTACCCACTGCTTCTAGTCCTGTGTGCCAAAGGGATCATAACTCAGTCCCCTTGAAGTGACCACTGTTTCACGTTTCCATGCACTTGCATATTCTGTTACTTCTGCTTGAAGAGTCCTCACACCTCCCCAGTCCTGATTTCCCTGCCACTGGGAGGTCTTGGGAACTGATGATCCGCAGTCTGTGCCAGACTTCTATCATAGCCCATACGCAGCGGCATGCCTTTACGGGTCTACTTATTTTTCTCCCTGCATGAGCTCTGGAGTTCTTGGAGAGCAGGGACTGCACTGTGGCACCAAGCAAAGTGCTTGGTGTTCAGCCAGTGTTTGGGTGATGACTGAATGTTGAGACAGGAAGTCAAGTGCCATGGCCATGTCTGTTCCCTCAGAGTATAGCCCTCGGTCTTTGTCCTTCTGTTAAGTGAGAACCCTGGCTAGCAAAAACAAGACCCTCGCTGTCTGTTTACTCAACTCCAGATTCGGGCCAGAATGAGTGAAAATCTAGGCAAATTTTCCCCAAGACTTTGAGTCAAAAGTCCCTCTACCAGCAGTCATAGGAATTTGACTTAAATTCACACGGATAGTACAATACCTTGTCAATCACCTGTTCTAAACATTACGCTCAACAGGTCAACCAAAGCTGCATATCTGCTGCCTACGCTTGCTCCAAGGAAGGGCATACACACAGAAGAAGACTGCAAAATGGATGTCTTTAGATCACTTTCTTTTCCTAAGTCTTTCCAGTACTGCATTTCTTCTATACCAAGACACACACTCTTCACAGTTGAAAAATCTCGAAATTAGGACGTGTCCTACAACTTGGCTGATAAGAAAGCAATGTGCCCAGTTTCAATAGCATGGTTTTTCTTACTGAGTGGTGCATAAAATGATGATGTGTCTCAAAATTAACAGTATCTAGGGGTCAATGAAGCAATATTAGTAGTTACCGTAGCAACGCCGGTGGAAAACTGCTAATTGATTCCGCCATCCATTCTTTTCATCTCCCTTTTGATAACAGAACCCATGGAATTTTAGTTGGGGGCATGGCAGCCTAGCTAAAGTCATATTTTCTAGCCTCTCTTTCAACCACGGGTGGCCCAGTAACTAAGATCTCAGCAATGAGGTGGGAGCAGAAGCCATGTGTACAAGCTCTGTGCCCCACCCTTTAAAAAGGAAATGGCTTGCTCTTCATTCACTGTCTTCCCTTCCTGAAGGATAGAAGACAACGCTGGTGAAATGGCTTTGATTATACAACCTATTGCAGGTGATGATGGAGAAGCAAGATAAATGGAACCTGGGTCCTAGAGGACCTCATGGAACAGAGCTGCCTTAAGCGCCGGGCTACTCAACTCTGGGTGGCCATGTTAAAGAAAAAGAAACGTTTCTCTTTTTTGTCACTGTATTTTTGCGGTGTTTCAGCAGCAAGTCGACCTGTACTGTTACTAATACAATCCTTATTAAAATGTTCCCTGAGCTAATCCTCGAAATTCTAAGACCTCTACCTTCACCTTTGTTGCTCCAAAAATAAAGCAGAAATACCGTAAGTGAAAGAACTTAGTATATCACAATACAGTTGGCTCTTCACACCCACAGGTTCTGCATCTGTGGATTCAACCAACTGTGGGACCTGTGACTGGTTGAATCTGTGGATGCAGAACATGTGGATACAGAGCATCAACTGAGACCCATTCTATATAAGGGCCTTGAGCATCCAAGGATTTTGGTATCTGCAGAGGGCTGTGGAACCAATATTCCACAGATACCAAGGGATGACTGTATATTATTACATGGTTGGTTATCAAAATGTTTTTCACAATTAGATTCTATATATTGCCCACATTAAAATGGCTAACTTCTATGGAGTGTGCAATATTTGTTAGATTCTGGGCTAAGTAGTTTACATGAATTATTTCATTTAATTCTCATCAAGACTCTCTAAAGTTAGTACTTTTATTGATCCTATTTTATAGATAAGAAAAACAAGGCTTAAGACACTAAGGATTCAATAGAAGGAAGGTGGCTAAGCTAGGATTTGAAATCCAGGCAGCTGATGGAGAGCCTCTGTTCTTAATCCTCTCACTGCATCGCTGACTGTATACAAAGCTTTTTATTCTAGAAACTTCTTTGTAGTTGACAGAGACTTCTGTATAATTTTAAAGAAGGACATTATGCACTTGACCAAGTATTTAATCTTTAGTTAAAACACTGTTTTATGGAAAAGTTGGCCTTGATTAAAATAATTTAGATTTTGAGGACCTTTAAATTCAAGATTAAAACCACTCATCATATGAGAGCCGTTTTCTTCCATGAATGTATCACTTATTCCAGAGATTCTTATCTTTTCACTTAGGGTTTTTCCACAACTTAGACCTGGGTCATGTTCATCTCAGACTGTTCTCTTCTCTCCAGGGAGAGCCAACAGCTCTGCTCATGTACACACATGTACACCACTGTTCACTCAGAGCACACAGATAGGGACAATCCTTTCTTTTCAAAAGCAATATTCAAAACAATTTATTATGGACTCTCTTTTATTTCCTCTTCAGTCTTCTTATTTTCTGCCTATAGCCATGACTCGTATATCTTAGATAAGACTGAACAAATTACTTTCATTCTGGTCCATCCAACATCAACATCCCAGAGTTTAAGGGAAATCAAACTTCACATATTTCAAGATCTCTAGTCAATTCAGATAGATAACTTGACGCTTAAACACCTTTGTAGATTTTTCAGCTATTCATGGTTCTTAACTCTTTCTAACTCATAAAATAAATATCTCTTGCTCTGCAGATGTCACTTTTTCCTGATCAGGTCTCCAGGCTAGTTAAGTTACTACATGACCACAGAATTATGACATGTTAAAATTTGACAAGGCAATAGAGAGATCTGATGGTCTAACCCAGCAAACTTTTTCTGCAAAGGGCCAGATAGTAAGTACTTTTGGTTGTGTGAGCTATCAGGTCTCTGCTGGAACTACTTAACTGTGCCACTGCTCTGTGAAAGCAGCCATGAGTGGATATATAAATGGATGGCTGTGGCTGGATTCCAATAAAATTTTATTTACAAAACAGGCAGCAAGCCAGGTCTGGCCTGCAGGAGGTAGACTGCCAACCTCTGAACTAGAGGGTTAGTGCTGGACAAACTTATACAGGTACTGTTATTTCCATTACAGGCAGGAAAAAGTTTGGGCACAGGAAAGCTAAGTAGTTAACCCAACAAAGACAGACAAGGAGTAGCTGAACCAGGAAGCTGCTACCTGCGTCTGTATTGCTCACCATTATGCTATACTGTGTCTGCAGAGTATATTTATTTTATTGTTTAAAAGTATGCTTGTATCATATCATTAATGGTTCTCAGAGGTAGTGGGATCAAGGGGGCTTTTACTTTCTTTTTTGGCTATAAATATTCTCTTAAAATTAAAATTTGGGGCTTCCCTGGTGGTGCAGTGGTTGAGAATCTGCCTGCTAATGCAGGGGACATGGGTTCGAGCCCTGGTCTGGGAGGATCCCACATGCCGCGGAGCAACCAGGCCCATGAGCCACAACTACTGAGCCTGCACGTCTAGAGCCTGTGCTCCACAACAAGAGAGGCCGCGATAGTGAGAGGCCCGCGCACCGCGATGAAGAGCGGCACCCGCTTGCCACAACTAGAGAAAGCCCTCGCACAGAAACGAAGACCCAACACAGCAAAAATAAATAAATAAATTAATAAACTTCTACCCCCAACATCTTAAAAAAAAAAAAAAAAGAAAGAAAGGAAGGATATCCTAAGTACGCTCAGCAAAAGTTAACTGTTGAATCTGGGTAATAGGGGTATAGAAAATATTTCATTATTAAAAAAAATTAAAATTTAAACCTACATTACTTTTGTAGCAAGAAAAGATAACTCACTTTTAAAGCGATGGATTTAAATTAGACATTATGCGCCTTTTTTTTGTCGTTGACTCAATATCACTCTCCCTTTCTTTTTCTTAGTAGAACCCCCCCACTACACCATCCCCCACTCCCCC